CGAAATGGGATTACCAAAGGCTGGTGAAGAGGGAAACTGATGAGGAAAGGAAAACGTTAATTAAAGGGTGTACAAAGTCTCAGTTAGACAAAAGGAATAAGTTTTCATGATCTATTGCACTGCATGGTGACAACAGTTAATGATAATGTACTGAATACAGTAATCCCCCCTTATCTGTCGTTCTGCTTCTCAGTTTCAGTTACTGTGGTCTGAAAATATTAAAGAAAAATACCAAATGTAAATAATTCATATGTTTGAAATTGTTCTATTTAAATGTGTATATACATTTATTTATAATTTTTTAATTTTATTAATAGTTGTTAATTTCTTACTCTGCCTAATTTATAAATTAAACTTTATCATAAGTATATATGTATAAGAAAAAGCATGATATATATAGGGTTTGGTACTATCTATGGTTTTAGGAATTCACTGGGGGCCTTGGAATGTATCCCCCATGGATAAGGGAGGAATACAGTATTTCAAATTTACTTTAAAAATAGATTTTTAACATTATCACCACAAAAAAATAAATAAATTGGTGAGGCAATGGATATGTTAAGCAGCTTTATTGAATCTTTCTACAAGTATACATTTTACCCCATAAATATATACAATTATTTATCAATCAAAAATAAATAAATCGGAAAAAATATAGACTCTAAGACAAACAGCAAGTTTTAAAAGATATCAAAGAGAAGATTTTCAGACTGACATCAGAGGTCTAAATAGACATGTTGGTATCAAAAGGCAAAGTATTACATATTTAAATGTATTGAAGGAAATGAACTTAAAACTTATACTTTTCAAAACACACTGCCATGTATGTACCTATGCAACTGTCTTGCATGTTCTGCACATGTACCCCCAAACCTAAAATGCAATAAAAAATTAAAAAAAAAACAACTTATACTTTTATATGAAACTAAACCACCATGGAAATTTGAGGGCATAACTGTAACTAACATATGTTCAGGCACACAGGTACTGGATATTTTCTGTTTGCCCACCCATTCTGCACCACTGTGCTCCACGTCTGAATCAAAAGACTCCTTTGTCTTTTGATTGAGTTTGAGGAATGAAACCTGCTAGCAGATCAGAAGGAGGAAGGCCTTAGGTCAGCATATTTATGTTTATGACACTCTCCAGGAGGGGTAGCAAGGGCTGGTGGCATTTTTCCACCCAAGGCAATAGCACTTACAAGCAGTTCTCTCCACACAACTCTTTCTCTCTCTCTCTCTCTCTTTCTCTCTCTCTCTCTCTCTCTCTCTCTCTCTCTCTCTCTCTCGCTCTCCTATTTTTTTTCTCTTCCTCCTCCTCCTTCTCTTTCTCTTCCATCCTCTTCTTGCCTCCCCTTCAGGCCCAGGGGTGGAAAGCGTGTTTTGTTGTTATTAGCAGCCAGGCACACTAATCCTTTTGTTTTTCTGTATCCTACTCAAGCCTTTGTAAGGAGTCCCTTTATTTATCTCTCCTCCAATTACTCAGATTGAATGTGTCATCTATTTTTGGACAGCACCCTGAATGATAAACATAGCCTCAAGAGGTTTGTCATATAAGCATACATCAGAAAACACTTTTGAAGAAAGTTTTGTGAAGGTTTCTATTAAACATATGGGCCATAAGGATGAGCAAATAATTTGTTTTTAATTTAAGCAATCTATTTTCAATTTCTAAAAGCTTTATTAATTCAATTCTTCCTTTTTGTAACATGCTTTATTCATGGTTTTATAAAGGAAATATCTTATTAAATCTCTATAAAAATACCAAATAAAATTTCTTTCTAATTTTTTGTCACCTTGAATTATTTGATTATTCTAGTTAGTTTTCTATCTCTTCACCTTAGTTTTTTCCTTTCATTTTTCAAGGTTTTCTAAAATATCAATGATTCTTTAAGAGTGCAGAAATGTGAAGCTGATCAAAATATTAATGAATTCTTCCACTACTGTGGTCTGCTCTGGACATAGCCTGTGACTTTCTCTGTTTTCCTTCATGATTTCAATGCTATAATCCACATGCAGGTTTTATCAACTTACTCACTGAAAATTTGTATTCACTATGGCTACCCTCTCTTTTTCATCTTTTTTTTGTGGGTCTGTACATTTGCTATTTCTTTGGTCTAATTTTGATAGGATCTCAGTAGGGAGAAGAAATAAATATGTTTACATAGTGTGAGATTTTAAGTAAGAAATCATTCCTTAATTATTTTTGAACCCACTCAGGCTATCGGAGATTAGAGAACATCTGTTATACTTGAAATGCCTCCTCCCTACAGACGAGAGATATAACTGGATGCTTCAGAGATGCTCCTTTTCCTTGAAACTCCTTCATTAAAAATCACCTTTGCCAGTCCATTAACAATTAATTTTAAAAATAGCTTATTTATGTATAACTTTTCTTAAATGATTTTGTAAACACGGCAGCAGCCAAAGATTCTGGCATAGTGACAGAAGCCACAGGACTCAGAACACAGGAGTTTAGTCACTTCTGTCCTCTGGTAACTTTAATGATTCAAATAGGGTAATTTTTTGTCATCTTATTTCATTTGTTTTTAACTTTTTTCTTTTTTAGATACATCATAATCTCAGTTCTGGAAAACAAAAATTTTTGTGAACAAAAGCAGAAAGGGGCCTGAGATCTAAGCCAGTAAAACCATGTCTGTTTTTAAAGCCATCAATCACCTGTTTTTTATGACTTTAACTAGTCATCTCTTTTTAATCTTTTACAGTTCAGAGTAGAAAGGATTTTCTTGATCTTGAGAGGGAACTAGGGTGTCTAGGTCTGACACACAGCAGGAGCTCCAAAAATATTTGTTGAATAAGTCAATGAGAACAAGATACTATCAGTTTATGCTTTTTAATGAATGGGTATGGTGTTTGTTTTTTAACATGTAAAGGACTCCTGTACTCTCCATAAAACATACAAATATGGCATTTGAAAAGTAGGTGAACTGCTTTTTTACTCTACTAATAGCAATAGCATTTTAAACATTGTATTTAAAGACAATGCTAGTCTTACAGATAATTGAATTAAATGGCTTCAGGTTAAACTTTAGGGCAATAAAGCAGAAAATCATCCTAAGCCTACTTTGGCAAGCTGAGAATGTAAAACTTTATGGAATGATAAATAAAGGAATTTTATTTTTATAGACGATATGGGCATGGAGTAGACCAGGTTAAGCATTAGGAGTAATTTTCTGAATGTTTAGTTTTCACATTTTATTAGCAGGACTTCACCTGCCACATGTAGCAATAAACATTCCTTGAAAATATTGAGAATGTAACATGCTTTATTTGGCCACTCCTCTACTGGCAGGCGCTAGGAATTTTTTTCTACTGTTGAATTATTGTTTCTATTATGAACAACAGAATACATAGTTTTAAATAATTTATTCAGTACATCTAGAGGACTTTTGATAATGCATTCTTGCAAAACTTCCCCATTGCTAAAAGATAAGAAAGAACAATTCATAATGATAAAATGGCCAATCATAAAGGAAGATCTGAGAATCCTATATGTACATGTACCTGATAACATAGCCTTAACACACTAGCAAAAGCTGGCATCTTTAAAAGGAGAGATAAGCCAATATAAGGCATAGTAGAAGACTCTAACACACCTTGCTCAGTATCTGACCATGCAGGCAAACAGGGGACCACAGGCGCAGGAGTGCTGAGTGATGTGGAGCAATGTTCCACCTTCTTGTGCAGCTTATCTGTGCCTTCCTGGTCTATGTGATTCTGGAGGTAGTACTTCCATTTCATTATGAATTAATTATTTCTGAGACTGTCCATGCTTCACACTTGTTGGGTAAGACAGTACGAAACATATGATAGGAAGTTATGGCTACATAGTCACTGGATAGTAACTCACTTGGTCTCTACAGGGGCCAGTAGCATTTCAGGCACTACCTTTTGATGGTAAACAATTTGCTGCAAATACCATGGGCTTGCTTCAGAAACACAGCGATAAGAACTATGATTTCTTAACTGGGGCCTGTCAGATGTTCCACATTGCATCTTTATTTAACCCAGATGCCTTAGTACTGTGGAATTTTATGAATCATATGATCTAAGTAACAGGCTTTTCTCCTACTACCACCTACATTATTGGATCTTCTAATTCATATGGTTCAAACGACAGGGTTACTTTGATTACAACCTAACCTGCTACAGAGCTCTTTCCAACTCTGGGACACACTCATATCTAGCAGCCTACCATTTTACAAAAAAAAGGATCAAAACAGTTCTCTAGAAAAGAGTATCAAATCCAAAGACGCCTCCCAAGCATTGTACTTCTTTGTTAGTGGTAGGAAGTTCAAGGTAAAAAATCTGTAATTTTCTTTGAAAGACCTCTAAAATCTTCACCAATGTGGCAGCCTCTAAATTTGTAAGTTTTATCACTGTTATCTCCTACTCTCTCTACATTTCCCAATAGCACAGAGACCTTGCTATATACATGTAGCAAGTGTGTGTGTATACACATATGCACTCACACACACACACACTATATATATATATATATTCATATTATCAGATGTAAGTAATATAATGTCACAGAAGACCAATATGATCTTCTGCAGAATATCCAGACACTTCATCATGTCCCTTTGGACTATCCTGTAAAGGACCATACAGATAAACATAATTTTGGTTAAGACAATAAAATCCACTTTGGGAGGCCGAGGCGGGTGGACCACGAGGTCAAGAGATCGAGACTATCATGGTCAACATGGTGAAACCCCATCTCTACTAAAAATACAAAAAAAAACAGCTGGGCATGGTGGCGCGTGCCTGTAATCCCAGCTACTCAGGAGGCTGAGGCAGGAGAATTGCCTGAACCCAGGAGGTGGAGGTTGCGGTGAGCCGAGATCACACCATTGCACTCCAGCCTGGGTAACAAGAGCGAAACTCCGTCTCAAAAAAAAAAAAAAAAAAGACAATAGAATCTACATTGTTGTTTATTACATGTGAATGTTGTGAATGTAGATTACTGCTTATTCTCCTTCTTAACAGACATTGAACACAAAGCATTGGTCTGATCAATAGCTGCATACAGCATACTAGAGGCTGTGGTAATCTGCTCCAGTAAAGATACCACATGCAGCGCAGCACAGCTCTTAGGGCTACTACTTGTTTGTGGCAGTCTGTGTCATGTATTACGATCCATCTAGGTTTTGCAGGAATCATTCTAGTGAATCAAATGAAGATATGATGGGTATATACGCAGCATCATTTAAACCTCTGAGAGCAGCAACAATCTCTGTTGCTCCTCCAGGGCCAAAATATTATTTTTAATTTAGTCTCTTGACTGGTGGTGGTGGGTGGGGCAGTTTTAGAAGCCTTCACTAGGCTTTTCTTATTATAGATACTTTTCTTCTTCGGGTCAAGGAACCAGTATGAAGAGTTGACATTTTTACATTGCAAAATGAAATTCCTTTTTGAAATGTATTTTTAAAAATCAAAATATAAGTTGTATACAATAAACTCATCCTTTTAATGTATGAAATCTAATCAATTATGACAAATGTTTGAAGCCAAGTGACCATTACTGAAATCAAGAGATAGCACATTTTTATCACCCAAAAAAGTCACTGTCTTTTGCATTCAGTTGCCTAAACTTAACTACTAGCCCCTGGCAACCATCTGCCCATTTTTCATTCCTACAATTTTGTTGTCTCTGGAATTTTATGTAAATGGAATCATAGAGCATACAGTCTTTTTTGGCTGGTTTCTTTCACTCAGCAGAATACTTTTGAAATTGGTCCTTGTTGTTCCATGTATCAATAGTTAATTCATTTTTTGTCAGTAAGTCATATTCAATTGGATTGCTTTACCACAATTCGTTTATCCATTCACCAGTTGATAAACATCTGGACTATTTCCAGTTTTTAGTGATTACGAATTATGAGCATTCATGTGTTTTAATTCCTATTGAGAAAATGTCCAGGAATGGAATTGAATGTAGAATAACCATTCAATTTATCAGTCAATTGTTTCCCAAGTAGCTGTGTCATTTTATATTCCCACCCGCCACAGGAATTCCAGTTGCTCAACATCCTTACCAACACTTTTAAACTTTAACTATTCTGGGGGTATTACTGTTGTTTGTTTTGTCATTTGTAATGACTACTGGTGTTGAGCAGCTTTTCATATGCTTATTGGAGATTTGTGAGAAAAGATACTGACCTCTTTTTGGCACAGTGATCCATAATGAAATAAAAGGCTCAGTGGTCTGAGCAGTGAAACGTACCTTTTTACTGTTTTCACATATGGTTTGCCTAAATGCTAATAGATGAAAAACTAGTATTCTGTACCACTCCAAACCCTACCTCCTGGATCCACAAAGCCTTTCAATTTTTACCTCAAGCACCAGGTAAAGGAAAATAAGATGAATAAAATGAGTGACAGACAGCCTATGGCAGAGACAAAAGTGGAAAAAATCAGATGGCTGAGTAGAAGACAAAGGGAGTATAAGACTCAGAGGACTGTGAAGTCAGGGAAAATAGAAGAAAAGGCAGTAGTCAGGGTTCATTTTGCAAATCCAGGGTGAACTCTATGTGGACTCACAGGCTGTGTTACATCAGTGTCTGGATTCAACGTCCAGATGGGATTTAGAGATTCTCTGGCTAATGGTAGGACATTTTCAGGAACAGATCGACCCATATTTACCTTTTGAACCTTTATAACAGAGCAGAGGGATGATATTTTTAAAGGACCAAAAAAGTGTGCTATTACTACTTCTGTTTCTAAAACAGCTTTAATGCAATGCGAGCAAATATTTTTTAAAAGCTTTCATAAGATGTCTGGAAATATTACAGTAAATATTTACATTATTACCTAGTATCTAAATATTTAGGAATTAAAAGAAGCTTCGAATCTTAGTAATTACATGGTCAATAACAGTGTTGATTTATCTGTTTTTCATTAAGTCATATTTAGAGCATCAATGTAGAAAGAATTATATGAATATTTACTGACTAAGGATAACCAAAATCAGTGAATCCAATTCATTTTTAATGGTTTGGTGTTTAATGATAATCATGTTTTGCCATAGGATAACTAGACACGACAGGCAATTTATATAAATAACCCATAATTAGTCCACTTCAGTAGAAATCAAATAATCAGTCTCTCTTTTCTCTTTGTGAATTTTGCAGTGTCATATTGACAATTTTTCCTAATACTACACACTGTTTCATCTTTGTCTTTTTCATGCATGCTTCACTGACACATATAAAATTAAATATTTGTATCTTGAAGATCCCAACAGTTAGGTCCTTGGTTCCCAAATCTTAAAGCTTTACCAGTAAAATGTCCTATAAACTCTTAAGCTTCTCTTCCTTTCTATTACCTGTCAAGAGAATAAGTGCTGGAAAACTGGAAGCAGAATAAACGCTTTGGCTGTGAGGCAGACGCTGGACTTTAGGAATCTTAGCTGTTGAAAGGAAAATTACAGAGAGCTGTGATGGTGGCCTCTGTATCCATGACATTTGGGATCCAGAGAGAAGATTGAAGAGACAGGGATTGCACTTCAGGGAGGTTGGGGGAAGGAATATGATTGGGGAACTCTATTGTTCTTCCTCACCCAGCTCTTGAAGGTCAGCCTTGGGCACAGTACAATTTCGTGGGGCTGGAGTTGACTCATACCCTCATCTACTAACTACACAGAAAATTCCTTTTATATAAGAAATCCTATGGATGAAAATAAGGGGCTTAAAAAGATAACCATATGAGACAGTTAGTTTTGCCTAAATATACCACAGAAATGAGGCTCCCTAAACTTGCTTATTTTGGTTAGAGAAACCAGTTACAATACAGGAATGAGGGGAAAGTTGGGCAGGGGTCAGGGAAAGTATCAGAAAGGAAAAGAGAACAGAAAGGGGAGACCTGAGACATGGGGAGTTGTGATAATGCATCAGAGCTTGAGGCTTCTTTAGAGTTCAAAGGGCTTGTTTGCTCAAATCTGAGTTTGTTCTCACAGCAACTCCATGAAGTGGAGGAGGTATCACCTCCAGTTTATGCAGGAAAACACGAAGTCTTAAAAAGGTTAGGTGATTTGCCAGTCATCACAGCAAGGCAGCAAGGTAACTGGCAGAACTATAGCTCCAGTACAGGCATCTTCCTCTAAGTCTCGTTCATCTGTCACTTGGCTGCTTCTCCCTTTGCTTTGACTATGATGTGGCACAGACCTTATCTCCAGGAGACTGTATCGCCTAATTTCAACAGTGCACTAAAAATTACATTACAGCCTTGAACTATTAACTTAATTTTCAAGAAAGAACATATAATTTTAAGTTATTTTTGTATCCAATCTAGTAATACCTAGAAAGTCACATTACAGTGACTGTGCGGGAGAAAAACTGCTAGCTAAAAACACTGATTGCTGTACGAGATTTTTTAAAATCCACTGAAATAATCTTAAAAGTATGGTTTACCAATTTTTCAAAATTGTATTTCCATGTCGCTTTTTTAAGGCTAATCAAGTGAAGCAGTGGGAGTGAAGAAGGAACACAGAAATCTGTTAAGTGGTTGTGATCAGTTGGTTGTAAACATCACTGCACCTGGACCAGCCTAGTGTCATTTTTTAATGGAAACATGATTTATTTCCTTCTCGTCATCATCTCAAGAATAAAATAAGTATTTGACCTTTGCTCAAAGTAATTTTCTCTTCGGGTTAGAATCTGAAGGGCATTAATTATGAAGATATTGTTATGACTAATGCCCACTGTCTAAAGTAGAATTCTCAGCCAGTTCAGACCTAAAGAGGGAAAGATGTTGTTTGAGCTTTGTTTTCTCCTCTGGCCGTTCACACAACTTGACTTCAATGTTGCCATCACTGAATGCTTCTCCTTTGGTCTCCTCTACGGGATTCTCTCTCAGGGAAAATTTTGCTTTCTTCTGCATCATCATAATTCCTGAATTTCCATGCCTTTGTGCTGGAGAGAAGGTTTTGTTTACTATGCAATAGCAAACTGCAGACAAAACATTTTTTTTGAAGTTTTCATTCATAAATGCATAGATAATGGGATTACAGATGGAGTTGGAAAATCCAATAATTTGCACTATAGCAAAAATCATCTTGATTGTGACATCATCATATTCCTTTTCAAAATTACCTGAAATAAAGTAATATTTTAGAATGTACATGTATTTTAATGAGCATAAAATAAAACTTCTGTTTGTCACCTGTCAAAGACTTACACTTGTATAAGTAGCTAAAGGTGTCAAAAGTTCTCAAGGTCATTTTGGGAGAGGCATCTGATATCTGAATAAAAATAACCTTTGTGCTAAGTCTTCACTTAGAGAATCTCGGCTTATAAGCATAGCCTGGTGTCTAACACATAGTAGGGGGCTCATAGCATTGCAGCTTGATAACTCCAAGCTTCATGTAAGCTGTAAGCAGCAGTAACCCTTTAAATGTTCACTGGCCTTACAGAAACAAAATCATGCTGAGAACCGTGGTAAGTCCTGGGCTATCAGAGAGAATATACCGCAGGTCTGACTGTTCAGGTCAGGGTTCTAAATAGGGAATGCTCATAGAATATCACTCCTTTCCCAAAGTTTAAATAGCTTAGGGAGAACAGAAGGAGTAATATGGGAAAGGAATCTCAAATTTTTCTTTATCTTCTGTCATTATTAAAGATTTAGTCATAGTCATACATAATGACCTACCACATACATAATAACCTTGTGATCTTGAAGACATGAAAAAAACATATGAAATGTTAGGTATTTTATTATCCAAGTGAACAGTGACACATTTCTAGGATTCACTGTCTATTCTAGCAAGAAATGAATGAGAACGTCTATCAAATGAGAATGACAAACACTCACTGTATTCAATCATCATATGGACAACATGAAATGGTGCCCAGCACACAGCAAAGAGAGCCACCACTGTCACCATCATAATGACAGCTCGTTTCTTCTTCCTAACCCCCAGAAAGAAGCACTGTGTTAGTTAACTTCTCCTTGGCAAATGTGCCAAACCGATAGCAATGCTATTAAAGTCTGAGCCTAGTCCACTCAAATGTAATTTTTACATTAGGTTCATGATAGGTTATTTGTGGGATGATTATCATCCTTTCCTATTGACGTCACTCCCATCCTAATATTTTCCATATCATAAATGTTCTTTGAATGTCTGCTCATTATGAATATGGCACTCTGCTAGATGCATGGGATAAATTATGTCATTAATTTTCACAATATGCCATTTGATAGATGCAGAAACTGAGACACCCAGAAGGTTAATTAACTTGCAGAGTTGGATGGCTAGTAAGGGCTGTATTTTGGATGTGAATTTAGGAAGTCTAACTTCTTTGACTTCAATATAAACCTCTTACTTTATATTAAAGAGCCTTCATTCTTGTGGTAGTAAAATATCAACATTTATAAAATATTTGTCTGGTGCAGTGACTCACTCCTGTAATCCCAGCTCTTTGGGAAAACAAGGCAGGTGAATTGTGTGAATCCAGGAGTTTGACACCAGCCTGGGCAACATGGCAAAACTCCAGCTCTACCAAAAAAAAAAGAAAAATGAAATATGAGAAGCTCCAGGGATAGAATTAAAATGCACATCTATATGATATATCTTGATTTTTTGGAGACAGTTTTACTCTGTTGCCCAGGCTGTATAGGAGTGGTGCAATTATAGCTCACTGCAGTCTCAACCTGGGCTCAAGTGATCCTCCCACCTCAGCCTCCCATGTAGCTTGGACCACAAGTGCATGCCACTACACCCAGATAATTTTTAAATGTTTTGTAGAGATGGGGGGTCTCACTTCGTTGTCCAGGCTTGTCTCAAACTCCTGGGCTCAAGCAATCCTCCCACCTCAGCCTCTCAAAGGGCTGGGATTCCAGGCGTGAGCCACCACACCCAGCCTGATATATCTTAACAATATGACTAACCAGGTCTTCAAACTAATTTTCTCCATGACATCTGTAAAGAGAATTTACATCTGCAAGAGCTCTATACATCTGCATGGTGCTTTAAGTTTATAAAAACTCATACTTATCTCATTATTATTATTATTATTTGAAATGGAGTCTTGCTCTGTCACTCAGACTGGAGTGAAGTGGAACAGTCTCAGCTTACTGCAACCTCCATCTCTTGAGTTCGAACAATTATCTTGCCTCAGCCTCCCAAGTAGCTGGGATTATAGGCATCCACCACCACGCCCGGCTAATTTTTGTATTTTTAGTAGAGATGGAGTTTCACCATGTTGGCCAGGTTGGTCTTGAACCCCTGATCTCAGGTGATCCACCCACTTCAGCCTCCCAAAGTGCTGGGATTACAGGCATGAGCCACCAGGCCTGGCCCATTATTTTTTATTACAATGGCAGCTCTTTCTTCCAAGGAAAGGAGAGGAAACAACTTAGCAATAGGTCCCAAGGTGCTAAATAGTCTAGGGGCCCCTGTTCATTGAGAGGAAGGATTTCTTTCTTCAAACTAAGCACTAGAGCACTAGGGATCACTGCACACTTGGAAAGATGATAAAATCCCACCAAATCACCAGACTCCTCCATTTAAGGTTCTGTTTGCTTTGTTTCTAATAATCATTCAGTGTAGATTATTAAATAAATGATATGGACTACAAGTACCATAGCAGTAAGTAGTGTTTTAAAATTTCTGTTAATGAATAAAATCAGAAAGCAAAGCCCTTAGGTAAAAATAAATCAATAATAACAATTTAAAATAAATAACAAGCTTCGGTTTCCAAAAGATTTTCATACAGATCAATCTCATGTCTTTTAGCATCATCCTTGGGTGGGATTAAGTAAGAATGGATGTTATTATGCTCCTTGTACATATGAGGAAAGCAGAGCCTCGGGAGTGAGACTGATGTATATCTCATGGCTGGTGAGTGACAGAGAGAGTACCCATAGGACCGCAGAGTTCTGACACCAGCCCACAGTCTTCCTACTACATCACATATGCTCTAAATTCCAAGTCAGTTTCTACGTACAGCTGTAACTTCCAGGTTGATTTGTGAGCTGGTAAGCTTGTTCTTTCTTTCTGCCACATGTAAAACTTCAAGAGTTTAAAGTCAGTCCATGCCCTAAATTTGAATTACAAAGGTTGCTTTGACTAAATTACCTAGGGGTTCTGAGAGGCCTGGCAACCATCCCTTCCAGCACAACTAATTAAAAATATTTTAAAGAGGTAAATATTTCATTAAACAGACCTGGCTATTTTAGACATTTCTTTTCCATGAATAGTTCGAAGCACTGAACCATCCCCCACTCTTTTCTTTATCCAAAGTTCATAACCAATTTTACTGTACAGAATAAGCATCACCATAAGAGGCAGGAGGAAGAGGATGACAAGGATAAAGGTGGTGTAGATCTTCTGGTGCACAGGGCTGGTCCACTCTTCTAAGCAGCAGATGTGTTCTTTTTCATATAGGAAGTCATACTTGATCTTTATAATAAGAATAATTTGTTAAAAGAACCAGTAGTCAGCATCAAAAGAACAGAAATCAGCCAAGTATTGCAGTAATACATTTTGTAAGCTCTTTCAAATTTGTCCCCAGTACATATTTTAAATGTACATTTTTCATTGTTCTTATGTTGTTTTCCACTTCACTGCTTAAGCTCTTAAGAGTTTTATACCATCTTTTCTATTTTAAACGGAATTCAGGTTCACAGCCTGTTTACTTTCATTTTTTATCTTTCTCAACTTTTATTTCCACTAGTCACAAGTTTTCAATTGACTGAAACAGCATTACATTTGCCAAAGTATATATTGAAAAATATTTGGCAGTACATGCTAGCTAGTTTGTTATTAAATTATTTTGCTCCTTCAATTGTTGAGATAGATTTTTGACAAGGCGTGAGATATCTTTCAATTGAAAAACTGAAAGCTGTATTTTGTTACTGCTACTTCATGTATTACAATGATCAGATTGCTTGGAAAGTTATTAAAAAGGCAACTGGCAGCTTTTATCCTGAGATGAATTAGAAATTGGGATTCAAACTACTGGAAATATACAAATATTCAGATTGTATCTTCTGGTTTATTAATACTATTTCTAGTAGACTCACCATAGAAACTCAAAAGCATTATTAATAACAATAATAAATAATAGATAGTGCCTTAAAGGCTACTTTGAGAACAAACTAAATATTTAAAGCATATTCAAAAGTCGCATTTTTGGGTAACAGGAATAAAAACAAGAGAAGTCACCAAAACTATTGTTATTTTACTCATTATGGAGGTGAATCCTTAGATCTCAGATGTATTTCTGCCTATGTTCCCAGAAAATTTTATCACCAATCTTCAATGTGAATTGAATGTGGAAAAGCAGCTTTTTAGTTACTCTTCAAAGGTAAGAAAATTCAAGTTCTGACCTAGGAGTTACTTACAAATGCAACTAGGAATAACACTTACTGCAGAATAATCTCAAGATTCAAACTCTCTGGAAATAGAATGTTAAATACATTCATTCTGACTCCATGGAAGCAAAGCCTGCAAGGGCCAATGACCAGGGAGCCATGGACTGACATATCTAAGAGCATGCTGGACTGGGAGTCTTGGATCAGATTCACATAGCCCTAGGGACAAGCAAAGACTTTTGAGGGCATGCTCAGATGGTTTTATGGAAAATGTCAGATCTTTAATCCTCAATTTTAGATCTTCTTTTTACATACACTTCTCTAAAATTCTTGTCCCCAAGGTTGAAGTGTCATGTTGGGTCCTCATTCCCACTTCCTCTTTCATAATCACCCTTCTCCCAACATCCAGAAGTCACATCTCTCACCCAAACTGACTCTTACCCCGGGGCACGAGAAAAAGATATAATTCAAATGACTGATGTCAGTGAAGCCACATTGATTAACGCATCCTAAACCCAGGGCAAGGCTTTGTGCTTCTCTCTCTTTTAAATATATTTCTATTCAGGGTAAAGCCTGGCAGAGAAAAAAGGTATTTGATTGGTGTTGCAAAGTTGTGAATTCCCATTTTCATACAGTAAGGAGGCAGGAGCAATGACAATTTTAACTCAACCATCTCGTTGCTTCTATCACCTGAAAACTGACAAATACATCACTCATGAGAGAGAGCCCAGTGCAAGTGAAGCAGAGAGCAGTGGTGAGAAATGCTGAAGGCAGGGTGCTTTGTATCATCCCAGTGATAAGTTCAGACTCCCTGCAAGCTCAGGATGATATTAGGCAGTGGAAATTTCAAGAAGTTTGTGTTTGAGAATAGAAAATCTGAAATTGAAGAGTGAAGATCTGAAATTTTCCATAAAACCATCTGAGCATACCCTCAGGAAGTCTTTGCTTGTCCTAATAGAATTTGGGACTGAGATGGTGGCCAAGGGATGCCTTCGAGAGTGTGTGACGCCTTCTTGTGATGCTCTCTGGGAAGCTCTCAATCCCCAGCCCTCATCCAGAGTTTGCAGCTGAGTAGGGACTCCTCCCCTGTCCGCTACAAAGGAAAAGATTACTATTGTCGTAATCATCTCCGATGTACTCCAGGGTCTTTGGGAGTTTCCTCCCCTAACCATTTCAACTTTTTTGGATTCTCGCTCTTGCATACCTCCCTGTTCCTTTTTTCCTTGCCAGTTCCCTGATGACAGTTACTGGCTTTCCTGAATGGATTCCTGGCCCTATCCCTCACCCCCACCCTCACTTTCAGTCCATGTGATAACATTTGGCTCCTTTTTTGGCAGAACAGTCACTGTTGTTGTAAAGTTTTTTAGATCAATAAAGTCAGTGGCTTTCAAAAAAATATTTAGAGTATTTTTAAAATATATAAAAATACTTTTTCTATATTAAATAAAATAAAACACTTTTATTTTATTTAAAAATGGGTATATTTGTTTTCTATGGGTTAGAAATGGACCACACCATTCAGGACTAGAGTGAGTCATTTATAAAAGGGCTTCATCAGTCTGGGCTTCATGCTGAAGATAAGGGCAGCCTCCGCAGAAGGGAGCTGGCATGATTCCTTGCCAGCCGGCTGGAGGTCTCAGTGTTGTTGTCTTTGAGAAGTCCTGAAGCAAATAATCAGTCACGGGCAATACCACCACATCTAGAGGGCACTGATTCCAGTGACATCTGTCCCTTCCTTTCCCTGTTCTCCTCATTAGCTTCTGAGGAAAGAGAGGCAGAGAATAGTATGGGGGACAGGGAGAGAAAAATAAACACAAGAAGAGGAAATAGAGAAGAAGCTGATCATAACTCCTTCACATTTCTGGGCCTGAAAACTATTCACACCGAGGAAAGGGAAAATTGTAAACTGGTTAAATAAGAGTATGGATTTATGTAACTGTAGTACTGAACAGGACCATTTAATAACCGAACTCACACTATTCTTGTGAGTGAAAGTGACCAGAGAAATTTTATTATCTGACTGGAAGAGTTGCTCAAGATTTTTTCATCCATGATATTTCACCAAGCAGACTAAAAAAGTCCTTAGATGCATTTTTACAGGTAGCAAGGTATAAAATAAAGTTACTTTCTCATCTCACCTATGGAGTTCAGCTCATTCAAAAAATCAGTTACATGAAAAAAAAATCAGGCTATTTTTTAAGTGCTATCTTACCTTAGGCTCATTTGTTATTCTTGAGGATTACATGACATGGACAGTAAAGTTTCACGTTTGCCTATCTCTATTTTAAGAGATATAAAGGGATAAATCATTTAAAAATTATCTTAGAGAGTATGCAAGCAACCCCCTGCTGTCTTTGAAGACTGCTATCTGGGTAGATCACCTATCCAAGACATGTTGAAGTCCACCCTAACAGACAGGCTGGCCTGCCTAAAACAAACTCAGTGCTCTCCTTCCTGTGAATCCCCACGCATGGCTGGGCCTGTCAGACAAAGGTGTGGGGAAAGGAGACAAGCTGAATAAGATGATCTCCTAACATGTTTCCAATCAGAATTTCAATGTGTCTTGAATAGGAGGCAGGTAAGAAATGACTTCTGAAGGAGAGTCAACTAAGTAGACAATTTATTACAATTTTTTTATGTGATTGAAAACTAAAAGAAAAACCTAGAGCAATCATTCAATTCCTAAAATGTAACAAAACATTTGGGGGCACTGGGAAAAGCATGCTTGGCTTGCAGGAAAATGTAGAAAGTGACCCGTGTAGTTTTTAAAAATTGTATTTTAAGCATTATAGTCCTAACAATATATCAAGAAGAGCTAGATAAAACAGAGAAAATCAACCTTTAAAAATTGTTTTATTCTACTTGAAAGACCTCCAGTGAAATACTTGAGGTCATAAAAATTTGCTGTATTGCTCCTGCAGGAAGGAAAATAATTACAACGAAGGCGGGTGAGAAAATTTTTCAACAATATGATTATCAATCCCAGCTGGAGTCTACCTCAAGTTGTTGCACGTGCCACATGGGTGATCCTACGATGACTGCCACCAGCCAGACCACACCTGTAGAAGTAAGTAAGTCATCAGAGTATGACTAAGTTGAGGAAAACACATCCAGGCATAATTCTCTAACCATCAAGGTCCCCTATAGGAGAGAAGCTGTTCTCTGGCCTAGGGCAGTGCCACGGTCTCCCCCAAGGTTCACGCGTCCCCTCTTTCACCACCCTCAAAACTGCTGCTGGAATAAAATTCATAAAACAAGCTTTAAATGTTTAATAGTATTCTATTGCCTACAAGATAAAACCCAGTTTTCTTAGCATGGCCCCTTAGGTTCTCAACCATCTCCATTGCCTGTCTCTTTTCTTTCATTTCAGTCTACGCTCACTCTTCACACTGCAGTCCCCTACTGGGGAGCCTGCAGCGCTAATTTCAGTTCCCATATCCCAGAATGCATTGTGCCACTCCCTGGCCACCCTATTCCCAGTGTCTATCTGTATTCAGTTTCCAGGACTTGACTCAGAAATCACCTTCTCCAGAGAATCTTTGAAGGCCGCCACTATTCCCGAATAAACTGACTACTAATTTGTTGTCTCTTCCTGCTCTCTAGTGCAGTGTCTTGGTTGCCCTTACTCACTTCTCAATTTCCCCCAACTCCTTGAAAGCAAACACAATACTATTTATTTTTGTGTTTCTTCAAATAAGAGTCCTAGGAAAATTCCTGGCCCTCTGTAGGGGCTGATCCATATTTGCTGAATGGATGAATAACTTTTTAAACATGGCATACAACACCCTCTATCACCTCTTTTTAAAATCAAATGTACATTTATCTTAAGTACCATAACATGGGCATTATTTTCTTATTTAGGAAATAAACACTAATAACTTCAGAAACCAGAATGCTCTTTCCAAATTCCCTGTCCTCCAAGAACTTGTTGAAAGGAATTGCTTTAATAATGTACTCTTATAAAATAATTAAAAAAAAAGGATTAACTACCAAGAACAATTTCAACTCATGTGTCTTAACAGACATGGAAGAGGACAGAACCAAGATCCCCAACTTTGATTTGGGGGAAAAGTTTCCAGCTCGAACTCTGCTTGTTCTTTCTATATTGGGTGGAATGTTAAGAAAACAGTTCATTGCTTTGGGTTTCAGTGACTCACTTAAGCCATAATTGGGGTTTATTATAAAGGAACACATAATCTGGTACTGCCTATAGAAATTCGTCATGATCCAATGATGCCGGGCAGCTGTGGGACTCACAAGTCTGTCCTGGCTGTCTCTATTTCTCACTCTCTATTTTCAGTCTCCATATTACCATACACACCTGTTATAGTTTAATCACATGTAGTTATCTTATGACCAATCATTTTTCTGGTCTTTAGGACAAATTCTGGACGAATTGGGTCTAACTGGCATAGTTCATTGCCTACCTTCCTGGATCCCTGGATGGTTCTGAGATAGAAGGGGTAGAGTTAGATGAACAATACTGATACAGTGACCACATCTGGGCAAGAAAGCCTAGAGGGTCTAGGTCAAGCTTGTCCAATCTGCATGTGGCCCAGGAAGGCTTTGAATGTGGCCCAATACAAATCTGTAAACTTTCTTTATTATGAGTTTTTTTGCGATTTTTTTTTAAAGCCATCCGCTATAGTTAGTGTTAGTGTATTTTATGCATAGCTCAAGACAATTCTTCTTCTTCCATTGTGGGCCAGGGAAGCCAAAAGATTGGAGACCCCCTGTCTAGGTCTAGGCAATCTCAGCTGGAAGGAGGAATGGGACGTGACAGACAAATAGTGACTGACAAAGCTGTGTCACAGTGTGACATTAGACAACAGTCCACAAAAGCCCTGTGGTGAGATTGGTCTATTTGATTTTAAAATCTTCTTGTCTCCTATATCTCTTTTGAGTAGGAATTGCCTTGACCTATTACCAACTATGCTTTGAGATGTTGTCATTCCTGCCACTTCTCTTTCATTTTTAGTAACTCCCCTCCTCCATGGAATCCTTTCCTTACTCGCTTTCCATCCTCACATGCTGTTTTCAAGTGTTCTGATGTTGGAAGGATGTCAATTATTAAAAGTCCAGAAATCTTGGAATTCTTAGTAGGAAAGATATGGCATAAAATTAAAACTAACTAAAACCAACATCTTTCTCCCCTCATGATTTAGCTATTACCTTCAAGCTATTTAAAATGACTTTGGCGTTGCAAAGCCTGCAAAGCTTTGTTCTGCAATTCCACAGCCCAATACTGGCTAAATTCTTACAGCAGAAATAAATGTTTACCCATTCTTCTCAAGTGAGCTATTAGTAAAAACTGCTTTCTTTGATTATCACATTAGTTGCTTGCTACACGTCTCATTATTAGCTACATTAAATTCAAACCACTGTGAAGCACACTAAGGTTTTAAATCGTTCAATTATAATTACGGAATAGAGAAATGCTTCCATTTTACTATGTTAAACTTTAGGACATTTTTTCAAATTTACAATTTCATGAGGTATGTGTTCATTGTGACTTGCTGACTCAGGAATAGTTACAGCAAGCTGACAATCCAGAAATACCTAAAGCAAAAGTATAAAGTGGGTGGAATGTGCCTTTGTCAGGCATCCCCAGCACTCAGCATCCACTGTTTTCATGTACTCTGTCACCTTCTACCCCTCGCTTCTCACCACAAGGGCAGCACCCCTGTTCTCTACTTTTCTAAAAACACATTTCCTGCTCCCTATCAATATCAACCTGTCTGGCCAGGTGCAGTGACTCACACCTGTAAGACCAAGGAGTATAGGGAGAGTACAGGAGTACACAGAGAGGCCAAGGGGTAATGGCTTGAGCCCCAAAGTTCAAGACCAGCCTGGGAAACAGAGAGATCCCGTTTCTACCAACAATTTAAACAATTAGCTGGGCATGGTGGCGCCCACCTGTGGTCCCAGCTACTTGGGAGTCTGAGGTGGGAGGATCAGATCACTGAGCTCGAGGTTGAGGCTGCAATGAGCTGTAATCGTACCACTGCACTGCCACCTGGCTGACAGAAAGAAAGCCTGTGTAAAGAAGAAAAAAAAAATTGAACTGCCCTTGTTATTTTAGCTTAGAGTCCTCTTATTGGAAGATAATAATCCCAGCCAGGTGTAGTGGCTCATGCCTGTAATCACAGCACTCTGGGAGGCTGAGGCAGGGGGATGACTTCAGCCTAGACATTCGAGACCAGGCTAGGCAACATAGTTGATACTCCGTCTTTAAAAAACAAAGCAAACAAGCAAAAGATGACAGTTCCTGATCTAATGAATGTTAATATGGCAATGTCACTGATGGGGTTATCCTGGATTAGCTGAACATAGCGCTTAAACATTTAAGATGTAAGCTGAAAAAGTATATCCAAAATGATATATTTTCAGTGTTGAGGTTGGCCTAAAAGAGATAGATGGTGAGGAGATGGAGGCAAACAGGGAGAGCACTGAGACTCAGATTATATTCCAATGCCTACTGAGATCAAATTTGATAAGAAGCTATTCTTCTAGTTTAAAAATATGGTTCTCTTTGTTCTGTAATAAAGAATGTCATTCACACTGCCATTGACACATGCAGTGGCCTCACCTAGCATTGTGAAAGCCCTTCGGTTGGTGTATTGCCACTTCATTTTAAAAGGATGCACAAGTCCCTGGTGCCTTTCCACAGCAATACAGGTCATAGTGAGGATTTCTGTCACAACAGCAGTAGACTGGACAAATGGCACCATCTTGCAAATGAAAGCACCTGCAGCAAGGAAATAGGACAAGTCATACATCAAAACAAAAAGAATGAAGGTTTCATCAGTCTCTTTGTAATTATCACAGTCAGTTATTTCTGAGCCTCTGCCAAAAAGTTTCACAACTGCAATTACACTGTAGACACAAAATAATTGAAAAAGATTGCACTGGATTATCTTTCTCCCTCTAACTAAATTCTAAGTTCCTAAATGCTCTGCAGTTATGTATAAATAGACAATGAGAGGACAAATCAGTATCTGGCCATTGATAATAGTGGAAAATAAGCAATATGACCTTCGCTTGGGGAAGAGCAAAGTCATTGTGAATTGGTCTCCTGGGCTCTGTGCTACAGAGTAATCTTTGATTCTGTCTTTTCTTTGGGCTTCCTGTTAAATCACAACAAAGGAATAGTTCTCATCAAAGACTCTCAGATTTCTTCTTTTATCATTTATTCTCCTTTGACTTCCTGTCTAAGACTTCTATATGTATTACACCATTACACTCCTGATTTCACTTTATGTAATGCAACGGTCTCAAACTGGTGGCCACGAGGCAAGAATTGGCCTGAAAACATACTTCATTTGTTTTCAGAATAGTTTTAAATCTTCAATGAATTGTCAATCTTTTGAAATGTTTATACTATTTGTCTGACCCCTTCACCATATGGATTTGTGAGCCTTGGTCTGGCACCTCTGGTCTTAACCCATGCTGCTTGCTGCTACCAAATTCATGATTCCCAGCTACCAGAGAATCATATACTCAGGGAATATGAAGTTGGAAGATGCATCAGAGGTTATCTAGCCCTAGTTTCTACCAAAGGCAGAAATTCTCTCTTCAACTTCTCTCTGAAGTGCTCTGCCAAACTCTGCTTAAATACAGGTTGAGCATCTTTAATCCCAAAATCTAAAATCTGAAATGATCTGAAACCCAAAGCTTTTTTGAGTGCTGATATGACATCACACATAGAAAATTCCACATCTTCTCTCGTGTGACAAGTCACAGTCAAAACATACAAAATTATTTAATATACTGTATGTAAATATCTTAAGACTATGTGTATAAGGTATGTAAGAAACATAAATGAATCTTATGTGTAGACTTCAGTCTCGTTGCCAAGATATCTCATTATGTATATACAAATATTTCAACCTTCCCCAAAATCTGAAATCTGAAACAGCTGTGGTCTCAAGCATTTCAGAGAAGTAATACATGGGAAGTCTCCTTGCTTTCACAGCCCCACCTCAGGTCTTTGCATGGCTTTTCCTGCTTCTTGGAATGCTCTTCCCTAAGATCACTCCCCCACATCCTTCCCTGAAGTCTGCTCAAACGTCACTGTGATGGTTAATTCTATGTGTCCAGTTAACTAGCTTCAGGAATACCCAGATAGCTAGCAAAACTTATTTCTAGTGTGCCTGCGAGGGTGTTTCTGGAAGAGATGAGCATTTGAATCAGTAGATGAGTGGAGAAGATCCTCCCTTCCCAGTGTGAGTAGGCAGCATCTAATCCACTGAGGGACCGAATAGAACATAAAGGCACAGGAAGGGTGAATTTGCTCTCTGCTGAAAGTGGAACTTGGCATCTTTTCCTGCTTTTTGACATCGGTGCTCCTGGTTCCCATGCCTTCTGACTCAGACGGGGACCTACGCTAACAGCTCCTGGGTTCTCAGGCCTGCGAGCTTGAACTGGTCTCCACCACTGGCTTCCCTGGGCCTCTAGGTGGCAGATAGTAGGTCATGGAACTTCTCAGTGTCTGCAGTTGAGTGAACCAATCCCTCATAATTAATCTCTCCTAAATATCTCTGAATATCCTATTGGTTTTGTTTCTCTGCAGAACCCTGACTAATATAGTCACCTTCTCAGTGAGGCTGTCCTACTCTAACAACCATATTTGTAATTACGCCTGTCCCATTCTCTATCTCTTCTCATTCCTTATCTCTTTTATTCTAGTCTTTCCCATAATTCTTTCACATTTTAACACACTGATATATAATATATATGCTGCTAATTGTTTTTTATTTTTAATTATTTTATTATTTATTTACCCCTACTAAAACATAGATAATGCAAGAGCAAGAATTTTTGCCTATGTTTTTCATTGATGTATTCTCAGCATTAAGAATGGCAGCACAGTAGGCCTTTAATAAATATTAATGCCCATTGATAATAGACTGGATTGGAAAAATGTGGCACATATACACCATGGAATATTATGCAGCAATCAGAAATGATGAGTTCGTGTTGTTTGTAGGGACATGGATGAATCTGGAAAACATCATCCTCAGCAAACTGACACAAGAACAGAAAATGAAACACCGCATATTCTCACTCATAGGTGGGTGATGAAAAATGAGAACACATGGACACAGAAAGGGGAGTACTAAACACTGGGGTCTATTGGGGGGAAAAGGGGAGGGCCAGTGGGAGGGGTAGGTGGGGAGGGATAGCCTGGGGAGAAATGCCAAATGTGGGTGAAGGGGAGAAGAAAAGCAAAGCACACTGCCATGTGTGTACCTACGCAACTGTCTTGCATGCTCTGCTCATGTACCCCAAAACCTATAATCCAATAAAAAATTTAAAAAAAAAAAAAGAAAAAAAAAGAAAAGAACAATTGAGTAGAAGGCTTATCACTCCTAAAGGCCACCATTCCATTTTAGAAAGGTTCTAATTGGAAAAAGTGCTTTACAATTCCACCCATTTCTAGCTTTGTTCTCAGAGTCTCAGAACCAACCATCTTTTCCAAACAGTGTCTCCACATATATTTGAAAGAAGCCTTCATGTCACCCATCTTTTCTAGTTGTCTCAGTTGTTTCTCATTTGCTATGCTTTGCAGAACTTTCAAAAAGGTGAATGCAGAAGGGAACCCCCATGGACCATGGGCCATGGACCAGGCAGCAGGGAACCCACCAATGTTCAGGATGTGGCTTGGCCAAGGCAGAAACTGTGGGACTGTTTTGGCTTCCCAAGTCTAAACACCCTCTTCTGTGACTGAAACTGATGTTTACATCAGCCTTCTGTGCTAGATTTTTCAAATGGTTGAAATCAGTTGAAATGAACTGGATCACTTTAATAGAAATTTTGTTAACCCAAGACTCCCTTACCTCCTATCCGATGCCTAAGGGGAAAAAGGTATTTAGATATCACTCTAGTTACTCCTTCCAAATCCTTTTGGGGAGCTCCAAATGGCAACCCAAGAGCCAATTCCACTCACTCCTATTCCTTGTTACAGTTTCCCAAGACAAAATCCTGTTCAAACTTAAGGCCCAGTTTTGTCTGGAAAGATGGTTTAGATGCCAGCTGCAGGAATGTACTTTCAATGTTAATAAATTCCACTGTGTTTGAATACTTACTATACTGTGAATAAATTAGTGTACCTCAAATCCTGGTTTGGATGTGATACTTGAGTAAATGAATATGAGTATAAATTATTAATCTGCATATTTATCCTAGGTATTTTCTGTTTTCTGGCAAATTTAATCAGAACTTTTTCTATAGAAAACAACCTTGTAGTTTTGATTTGCATCTCTCTGATGACCAGTGACGATGAGCATTTTTTCATATGATTGTTGGCCTCATATATTAAAAAATCTGGAGACAACAGATGCTGGAGAGGATGTGGAGAAAAAGGAACACTTTTACACTGTTGGTGGGAGTGTAAATTAGTTCAACCATTGTGGAAGACAGTGTGGCGATTCCTCAAGGCCTTAGAAATAGAAATTCCATTTGACCCAGCAATCCCATTACTGGGTATATATCCACAAGACTATAAATCGTTCTACTATAAGGACACATGTACACGAATGTTCATTGCAGCACTGTTTACAATAGCAAAGACCTGGAATCAACCCAAATGCCCATTGATAATAGACTGGATTGGAAAAATGTGGCACATATACACCATGGAATATTATGCAGCAATCAGAAATGATGAGTTCGTGTTGTTTGTAGGGACATGGATGAATCTGGAAAACATCATCCTCAGCAAACTGACACAAGAACAGAAAATGAAACACCGCATATTCTCACTCATAGGTGGGTGATGAAAAATGAGAACACATGGACACAGAAAGGGGAGTACTAAACACTGGGGTCTATTGTGGGGAAAAGGGGAGGGCCAGTGGGAGGGGTAGGTGGGGAGGGATAGCCTGGGGAGAAATGCCAAATGTGGGTGAAGGGGAGAAGAAAAGCAAAGCACACTGCCATGTGTGTACCTACGCAACTGTCTTGCATGCTCTGCTCATGTACCCCAAAACCTAAAATCCAATAAAAAATTAAAAAAAAAAAAAAGAAAACAACCTTGTACCCTTTAATATTTTATAAACAATTTGGTTGTCAAGGAGTATATTTTACATATAACTATCCAAACAAAAAAGAATTTTTGCCATGTTCATAGTAGCATTATCTCATTATAGTGCTATCCATCCTAAATACATTCACTTTGTATATTATAGCACAGGATATCTGTCAATCGCATCGTTGATATCAAGATGCACTCTGATTCTGCTTTATCTGGTTTCTTAGCCACTCTGAGCCTCAATTTCATGACTTGAAAAAAGGGATTAATAACACCCATCTGTCATAGGACTGATGTATTTCATAAAACGACGTAACCTAATATGGGATACATTCTTTAATAAATGGCAGCTCTTTTATCATTGGGTAGCCCTATTGAAAGAATCAAGGTAAATTTGACACACTTGGGGCTGACATGTTTTCTGTGGATAAACTGACCATTAAAGGACACCTAATTTAATAACCTTATTTCCTAGATACAGATATTGCCGTTCAAAGAAGTTAAATGACGTGCTCATGTCCACACAGCTATTTATTGACAGAATGAGTCCAGGTTGCCTGACTCCAGTTCCTTCTGTTATGTCACCCTCACTTATCTTACTGTGCCCATGTTACATGGCAGTTTTCTTGTCTACCTGCTCATAAATTATCTGTTTAATAATCCATTTGTGAATTTCACACCAAGCTGTAGTTTCATCATCTGTCATCTTACCATTT